ATAGTAATTTGGGATGAATTTTACTTGTTTTTTATGTCTGCTTCCCTACGACCAAGTTTAGGAGTATCAGCAGTAAGAAGAATAGCCTTGAATCCATTTGCTTCTGCTCTTTTCACCATCAAAGCAGATATCTCGCGTCTCTTGTAAACCTAAAAACAGATTGAAAACATTTTCAGAAGGAAAATTTTAAGGTTTATGTGGTGTGGGATGCAACAGTGAAGAAGTGATGAAGATCAGATACATACATATAACTGAAAGAATCTGATAGCATTGCAACTAGAAGCAACCTCCTCAATTGTGCACGTAGACATGAAAGATAACCCCTAAAACAGAAAGTTAGTATAAAAGAAGAAATCAAAAAAAGTAAGTAAAGCAATTAATTAAGAGATGCAGAAGCAGTAGTGTAGTGATTATATACCATTATCACATTACAAGCTCCTGCTGCTTTTGCTGTCAAGACCTCTCCTGGAGAATACATATTATAAGATGGATAAAACGAAAATCTTGAATATTGTTATATATAAATATATAATGGGGTTATTGAATTAAGTACCTTGAGGATGTGCTAATTTATGCATAGCTGTTGGGGCAATCATAATGGGTGCTGAAGTTTTGTAACCTAATATGGTTGTTGACATATCTATTTTGCTCACGTCCACAAGAATTCTTGGCCGAAAACTGATGATCGATCAAGTGTTGTGAAAAAACAGAGATAATGATGATGAAAAAGAAGATTAACATATTAACTATTACGTGATCCGCTTAAATGCTGCGGTATTTTCTCTGAGTGTGTGTTGATCCTCGGATCCCCCAGTAAAGTAGTCGTAATACATCTTTGGAAGCGCTTGTCTTGCCAGTTGTTGATATTCATTCAGATTAACTGGTTCCTCCTCACCCATGGCCATGTGTCAACTGTCAAGAATTAGGGTATATAAGTTTGTTTATTGAGGGCTTAACATGTTCAAGCATTGATTAGTGTTTAAAGAAAGTATTATAAAAAACAGTGAATCGAAGCTGAAGAAGCTTTGGATTATTAACTGGGATATGGTGCAATAAGTAACTAACAACTTTGATGTCAATAACCCTAAAAACGAAGATCCACTAACAGTGAAATCATACCTCTTAACTGGTATTGATCGGCCGACGCAGTAGGAGCAAAGAAAACGTCGGGGACTCGATTTAATGATGTACTGAGGTCTGAGAGTGCCTGTCGCGGTTTGCACGTGTTTTTATGGATAAACATTGTCGTTTTGTGATAAACGTGCCCAATTTGGACACTTTCATCGTTTACGACATTACATCAGATATTTGTACATATATTAAGAAAATGTTTTGTGTTATTAGACTAGAGGAGTAGCTCCGCAAAAGGCTCAACAAACCGGTGGCGAGTGTGTGTTGACATTTTGACCAAATTAATGGTATTTTTTTACTTTAATATATCTCATTTAGATGACATGCCATACATGGGGTAAAAATGATGCGACACGGAGATGAATATCAAAAAACAAAAGCTCATCAAAGCGGTGGCGAGTGTGTGTTCACATTTTAACCAAATTAATGGTATTTTTTTACTTTAATATACTGCAAGGTCAACGACAGGATTCACCCTGGAGGTCCTCATGTGTGGGACTATGTGTGGGACTGGAAGGCTAATATCTCTTCGCTTGAATAGGTACGTGAAGCTGACTTGCTTATTAACAGGGTCGGTAATATCCAATTAGGGACAAGGAATGATAGGTGGGTTTGTAATCTCTCCAATGATGGATCTTCTGCGTGGATGCCCTTAGAATGTGAATCGACTGGAGAGATGTCACCCGCAGAAGTAGCAATAACCTGGACACACGACGTCCCATTAAAGGTTAATTGCTTTTATGCGGAGAGCTTACCTTGATCGAATCCCAACTGCATGCGCCCTAATCAAAAGGGGTATTCAAGTCGCATCCCCCACGTGTACCTACTGTGAAGCTAAAGATGAAGATGCAGCTCACGTCCTTCTTCAATGCCCAATGGCAGCCACAATCTGGGAATGGGTATTTCAGTTGGTTACCAATTTCACAGCATTGATGAGCTGGTGAAATTTGCAGATCAATGGGGGACGTGTCCAAAGAAAAGGAAATGTTTAATCAACATTTGTTATGGAACCATATGACACATCTGGAAGGCAAGATGTGATTGGATCTTCAAGAAGATTAGATCCTCGCCAACCAAAGTAGTTGATTTGGTAAAAACTAATATGTTCCTTTGGACTAAGTATAGAAGGAATCATCGCTCTCTTCGGTGGGTAGAATGGTGTAGTAACTCCTTTAGTTGTATGTAATTCTTTTTTTACCATGTACTTCTGCCCTCCTAGCTAGGTGGGGTTTCTTGTCTAATAAAATTTTGTCGGTTCCAAAAAAAAAAAGATGATATAATAACAAACACACGACACCATTCACTGCAACCTTATTGATGAAGTAAAATACATCATGGGCAACCGAATTATAGTACGAAAAGAAAAAAAAAAAAAAAAAAAACTAATTCCCAATACTCGACTTATACTATTTTTTTTAACAAAAACATGCTACATTTAGATTCATATTAGGGGTTAAGTTCAAAATTAATCACTTAACTTTTTGATTTGTATTGTTTTGGTACCTTAATGCGGTTTAAGTTTTAAAAGGTCATTTAACTTGTTATTATTATTTTTTTTTTAACGACAAATATAATCTACCTCTAAACTACTTTTAATCTCATATATATCCCAGATAGAACACAAACGGTTATACCCTCGAGCTCAAAGAGAAATTAGAACATCTGATACCGCTATGCTAGAAGCTCTTTGGTCATCTAACTTGTTATTTGTTTTCGAAATGGTACTATGACCAGTGATAGCCCTTAACCTGTTGAGTTGGCATAATTATTCAAGTATCATTAAATTATAAACTTTATTTGACCTCATCGTCTTTTTCAGAACCACCAACGGGATGAACTTCTTGATTTAGTAGCCCTGCCTTCACGTCAGCTTTAATTGTGGCGATTTTCTTTTAATGGGCTTTGAAAAAAGGTTTATTTTGAGCTACAGATGTGGGTGTCAAGCACTTTCCAACTTCAAGAAAAAACAAAAAGGAACAAGCAAGAGCATTTTAACAAGCAGCTGGTGGGCATCAGTTTAACAATCACATACTCATAAATTCCCACAAAATGCTTGGTGGATTTTGGAAAGATTAACCATGAAGTGCTGCTCCAGGAGGACGATAGAGACATGGTGTGCCAAATCTTTAGTTTGGTGCCTAAAATTTTGATTATATACAACCCAAGCTAAGTAGATGCTTACATGTACTGCTAACTTGGAATAACTATTCCAACTCAGCAAGCTAAGGGCTATAACTGTTAACCGGTCATCAAGACCATTTCGGAAACAAATAAAAAGTTAGGTGGCCTTTTAAAACTTAAACCGAATTAAGTGATCAAATGAGTACAAACCAAAAGGTTAAGTGACAAATTTTGACCTTAAGCCCTAATATTACACAACACCAAAAGAAGTTTCAGTATATATATATAAGTAAATCCATCAATATCAATCTCAATCCACAACAAAATGAGATAAATATTTTCTTTTAGTTTTACCTACAACATTTGGGTGCCAAAACACAACAGCCTCCATATAATCTAAACTCAAAGTTATTAAGTAACTTGGGCCCCCTGAAACAATGGAATACATTAAAATAAAAAAACAAAACACGTTTTCTGAGATTAAAGATGCCATGTCATCATCACCATATCTTGTTTTTGGCCCAGAAGAGTATAATAACTACCCCAACCACAATTGCAAAAGGAGCATATTTCTTGATCAATGCCTGCAATTGCAAGTTCCAGACTTTATATCTTAAAGTAAAACCATGCATACTATTTAATATTTATTACTAACCTGTCGATTTAAATCTCTTGCTTTCTCAGCATAGATCCGAGATTCTGAGGTTAATCGGCTCGACATTTGACTCACCTCTAAAAAAATTTTAAAAAAAAAATCAACAATCTGATAAAAAAATAATAATAATAATAATAAGTTTTGGAAAAAAAAAACTTACGGTCCAATTTTTCACCAACACCAAGAACTTCCTGAACATTACGTGTCATGATCTGGTGTACTTCATAAAGTTCATCATTCAGCTTTGAAATATTCCTTTGAGTTCTGGTGTCCTGGTACAATTTCTTGGTCCTCTGTATAAACGTATCTACTCATATATATATTTTTTTTAAAAGATGGATCATGAGTTAGAAACATGAAGATGAAGTTTATAATTTTTATAAAAAAAAAGTTACCAAATTTTATAAAAGCGTAAGGTCTTGCTGCAGTTTCGATTTGATTGGCATAACCACGCTCAAATTCATTCTTGAGATCTTCAAGGTATTGGAAAGCCAGCTTCTTTGGGTAAGCACGATCACACATTGTCAAATAACATACTCGCCCTTCAATAATATAGCTGACAATTTTTGGGTTAAGTTTCAAAACTAATAAAAATATAAAAAATAAAAAATAATAATAATGATGGAGGATACTGGAAAATGTAAGGGCCAGTTTCAACAGACATCCGAGAGGCTTCATTGTGTCCTCTTGAAAGGTTCTTGAACAAAGCTTTAACTTGCTGTTTGTAAAACTCTGCATCTTGCATATCACGCCCATCATCAAGTCCTTCAGCTAGTGGAAGCCCATCAGTCACACGAGCAATCATTGTCAGCTTCACCATCTTATCCCCTTACAGAAGCTGTCACCTCACCTGTAATAAACACAATATTTTAACATTCAATCTACCAAGATGATCCTTCTCCCAAAGGTATAAATTCATCAAATGGTGGTAAGTTTGATGGTAGATATACATACATAGGTACTACATAAAACTGTAAAGAACTCTAAACATATAAACTTCAAGACTAAAGATACAACTAACATAAGTACCATATTTCTTGTATAGAAAAATATGTGCAGACTACTAACTGCGTATTCACCATATTTAGGTTGTAACTTGTAAGAGTAGAGTTGGCATACACATCAACATGAACACACTTTTAATTGAATGCATAATAGATCAATTTCCCAACAACGATTGTTAATGAGGAACTTTCCATCCTAACTAACACACACCAAGACAAAATGAGTAATACATAGAAGATTTGAAGAGAATTATTACGACCAAGAACAACAAATTAACGGTGATGACGAAATCAATATCACATTCACATCAATACCCAACTTGAATCATGTAATTACAATGTCATTCGAATCGAACAAAACTATAATCAGGTCTGAAAAATAATGAGGAATTACATGTACAAGAAAGAAAAGGAAATTTACCTGAAATTTTTGTTTATCATGCGAATAGATGAACCAATCTTTCCGGCTTAGAGTTCCTTAATGTACATTGATCGGTGGCGAGGTTTACAATAATGAATAAACTCCGTAGAACCAGATCAAATCAAATTATAGGGTTTTGGAAGGACGATTTGAAAATTGGGGATGATTTCTTGTCCTTCAAGAAGAGATAGATGACTGTAAGATGAAACGCAAAAAGAAAATGCTACAAATAAATTTATTGATTATTGGCGTTTGACCCCTCTGCTCCTAAAATTTATCTTGGGATCTAACTCCCAATAAATTAATTTCTTCAAAGACAGAAGTCAGAGTTCAAATTGTTTTTTATTCACATTCGAGTGTAATTTATCATGTAATATATAATTGAGTTTATAAAATGTACATATTTCTTTATAGAGAAAATAATCTGAAACTCACTATTGATTAAGTTTTGAAAAGCATATATTTGGTACTACTATTTTTCATGTTTCAAAGATAATATTAAAAGAATGTGTTTTTAAATGACAAAACCAATTCTTTTGAAAACAACATCCGTAGATCTAGGGATATAACATTACTATGTATGACCTGTTGGACTTTGTTGAGGAGCTTCACTGCCTCTGGTGTGAGAAAACCAATTGTATCAAACGTGAAAGGTATAAACACATGTTGATTTTCATGGTATGCATTCTCGTATTCGGTCACTTTGCATATAGAGGCTTTCAAAGCAGTATGTCCTGCTGTGAAACCCCCACTCCCCAAGCACACGAGAGAGGAGACCCCCGTAAGATCCACACAAGCGTGTTTCCTTCCTATCCATCCAAATACCAAAATGTCAGTCGTCCTGAGTGTGAATCTTCCATCCAATGAGTCAGTCAAAAAGTCCACAACCACTTCTTTAATAACGGAAATATCAGCACGCCGATAGACATCAAAGAGAACGTCTCTAACGACATTATGTCGGTATTTGAAGTCTGAGAGTTCTCTACAATGAACCGTATATTCCTCAAAGGTGTCCAAACATGCCTTGCGAAAAATTAGGCATATCTCATCGATGACCTCGCCGGAGAAATCCAAGATGAGATCACTCCGATTTCGATTTCATCTTGTATGTGTTCATCAAACGATTCCCAGGAATAAAACGATTTCCACACACACACGATGAACAATGTTTTTGAGTTTTTGGGTTTCTGATGACGGATCTGAAATCACGAATCTGTCACGGATCATCTTGTTTTACATATCGTGTTCTTGAAATCAAAGTTTGTTCCATCTTGTTTTGAAATCAGAGTGTTGTTCTATGTTCATCGTCTTCATCGTGTCATCTTCTTTGTTCTTGGAAGTCAACAAACTATACAGCACAATGTACAAGCTCGTCGTTGCATTAACCTTTAAACCACCGCACACAAAATCCATATCTTCTCTGTTCTTGGAAGTTGTTTCTGGAAAGAATATAAGAATATGAACATGCTTGAACATCAGATTTGGAAAGAAGATGACTACGATGAAGATCTACAAACCTTGAAGGTCATTGTGTGTTCATATGATATTTGAAGAAACAACTTAAAAAAAAATGTATAGGTTGTTTTGACAAACAAACTCAGATCCATGAACTTCTAGGTTTTTGCAGATCAATACATACACACATGAACTTTTTGGTTTTTTTAATCAAACGAGTACATACACACACAAGAACAGCAACAGACCGAAGGTGTTGGTGGGGTAATTCAAGGTAGTGAAGGAGCTAAGGGTTGACTGGATGTCATCAGAAACAACGCCGGAAAATCGAGTTTTACAGGAGAAGATGACCGGAAAACTCATGTTTGGCCATAATAAACAATGTCGGAAACCGGCAAAATCCACTATTACCGGTCATACTGGTATAATGTACACGTTTCAACAAGTTCAGGGTTAATAAAACACGAAAAATAATTTAGTGACCATATGTGACCAAAAGATAAAATATGTTATCCTCTCAAGTCATTATCCCTTTCTAATAATACAACTAATCAGAATTTTGGTAAATAGAGATCAAGTCGTGGTACAACGAGTACAAATTTACATATAGCTCAAAATCAAATGGCACATCATTACTAAACAAATGGAAATCACAACCCTAGAAAGGAATTACTACAAGTAACAACATCCATCCATCAATTCACATACCCATTCCAATGTCGGAATTCGAAATGAACCAAGGCAAAAAAAAAAATTGGAATACTTGCTTGCTTAATAAAGACTAGGGAATTCGACAATAAGGTTATTTACCTCCTCATATACAACAACAACCAAAAATAACTCATCATGTTTGCCAACTTCAATCATTCTCTCTATTTTTTAATTTTATATATACCAATCAACCAACATGAGATCCATCACAAACACTCCCCATATTCAAATACCAACTCATCTCAGCTTTGAGTCGCTTCCTTTGCTGCGAAATGATGACAAAGAGAAGAAAGATCGAGGCGCTGTTCAACAACCAACAACATAAATAATTCTTACTTAATTCCTTCCTTTTAATCTTAATTGAAATAAAAAAAAGAACTTTAATGTTAGATTATTAGATCATACCTTTGATAGAGCTTCCGGAAAGGTGATCCTCCCTCAGTCTAAAGTTTGCTGGAGGTGTAGGGATTGAGGTCTGCAATGTATGAACTGCCGGACAAAACAAATGTATTATTAATTATCATCAATCAAGAACATAATAATACTTATATGTAAAAATTATGAGTTTTGAGCTCACCTTGATCGCTAAAATAATCGGTTTCATTGTAGCTACTTTCAAAAGGGAGACCATGTGAATACTCCAACCCCATTCTTGACTTTCTTAGATCATCTGATGAACGATTCGAAATATCTCTTCCATCTTCTGTATCATCATCTCCCTCTGAAGTTGTAGCAGAAATCCAATCAGCCATGCTGTCAGTGCCACGGCTTTTCCTTCCAAATTTCAGCAACCTTTTGAATCCTTTTGTCATGTCTTTACGAGATTGAACACCAGAAGAAGAATTGGAGTTGGAGTTGGCAACAAGAATATTCTTTTGGGTGCTTCCCCATTTCTTCCTCATACGAGCTACCTCTGCTTCTGATGAATTAAGACCATGTAGATTCCAAGATTCTAGATTATCAGAGGAAAAAGGATGATGCCATGACATCGGGCTTTCACCAGGTGAATCTTGCACATCAGGTGTTTGTGAAAATGTCTGTGAGGCAACTTCGTTTCCGTTTCCAGGTTCAGAGTTTATCAAACTCTCGCTTTTCGACTCCGTTTCCACTGCATCTTGAGCTTCCATTTCCATGGTATCAAACTCTTCATCTTCATCTTCATCATCATCATCATCTTCTTCCATCGCTTCTGGCTCATATTCTTCTTCTTTTTTTATAATAACTTCAGACACCATTGACGCCTTCATCTTTGCAATACCACTTCCACCTATGCTGTTATTCCTCCTATGAAAAGACTTTTGTTCCATGTTCTCAGGAGGAGTTGGGGACTTCTTCCTTAAAGACTGAGACCTTACCGTTTTCTCTTCCTTGACAACTGGCATCTCCTCATTGGTACTTCTGCTACGCGTATGCGTATACGTATGGTTTCTTCGTGCAGCTGCCTTGCTGGCAACAGAATAGGGTTTCGTATTCTCTTTTCGCAAGTCTAAAAAGTTAGGGACAGATTGTGCAAGAGGATTTTCCGATTGTACCCTTCGCCTCCCACTCCCAGAAGCAGACGCTACTTTTGATCTTGGAAGAATTGGTGCAGATGGGGTACGTGGTGTGGATGTAGATGGATTTTTTACAGGTAATGGCTTTTTACCTTGAACATTCCTAAGAACACCATTACTACTCATAAGTTTCAGCTCTGAAAATTCAGATATATCTTCATCATCTTCAAGCTGCCCAAAATCTAATCCCTGCCATAAGTAAAGCATATTCATTAGTTTTAATAAAGTTTATATTTCAAATAAAGTTTGATAAATTACCTTCTCTCGCTTCATAACTGATCGAGCATTAAATGACCTTAATCTCTCAGCACGTCTACGAGCACTTGACATAGGGTCTTGTCTATCTGCAGAAAATGAAAGTTTGGCCTTCATTTCAGCACTACTATGCTCAAGCCTATCATGCATGGCTTTCATTCTAGCTTCTTTTTCTGATTTATTAGAACCCCATTGTTCCCTTAACCTTTCCTCTCTTTTCTTCATGTAACTATTATAGAATTTCCCTTTTGATTCATCGGAAAATCCAATCTCAGAAATACTTCTTTGAAGCCCATCTCTGTGATTCTGATCATCCGCTTGTGTGACTTGAATAGGAGATTTAAACACCACCCTAGTTGGTTCAGAAACCTGAGTAGGAGCAACAGGCTTACTTTGATGTGCATTATAATTAGGTTGATCTCGAAGCTTATGCTCTGCAAAAAGCTTTTCTAGTTCATTCGCTTTCACTTTAAGCTCATCATTCAGTTCTTGATTCCCTTTTAATTGTCTTGACCTATGTGTTTGTGTTTGTGTTTGTGTTTGTTCACCAAGAGCTTCTAATGGTGTTGTTGTTGATCCTGATCCCAAAAGCTTACCAGAAGGCGGTGTGTTAGTGTTACTATATCCATCAACATATCTGCTTTCATTCTTTTGAATCTTTGTTTTTTGGAGCCCAGGTTGTTTCTCCATTGCAGTGTTCTTCATTGGAGCTTTTGAACTCACTGGTTTTGAATCGGACTCTAATGATCTTGCATCTGCTTCATGGTGTGAAGTTTCAACAACTGCAGGCTTGAATTCTTCTTGATTTGACACACCACCATGAAAAGACTTGATCTTAGTAGGAAGTTTTAACTTCATTTCCAATGAATCATCTTCCAATTTGGTTACAGATGAAATAGATTGAGTCTTTTCCAAAGTGGGCCCCGGTTGGTTTGAACAAACAGATTCTTCAGGTTGTGTCCCAGAACTTGTCTCCATCTTAGAAAGATGAGGCTGATCTTGATCTTGATCTTTCTGTACCTCTGTTTTAGCAGAATTTGATGTCTCGTTTGTAGGTTCCTTCTTCTCTCCACTTAGATCAATGCTCATATCACTAGCACCACTCCATCTTCTCAAAACAGAAGGTGGAGGAGCTGAAATATCAGATGAAAGCCTACGAAGCTCAGGCTTAACAATGGCGGGTTTGCTGCCACTTCCGGTGGCGGCACCAGAACCAGAACCAGATCCAGAACCAACCTCTTTCTGTTTGTTTTCAAAAAGATTAATCCGGTCTTGTACACTGAGCCGCCTAGAAGATGGCTGGGTGGG